TATATATATATATATTTATATTTAGGGGGGAAGCGGGAGTCTGTCGCTTGCTCGAGGCCCCAGGACTGGGCTGGACCTCTCCGGCCCCCCCCACGCCCGGGGATCGGGGCCGGGGCTCACCGGGGCTGCGCGGCCCGGGGCAGAACGCCGGGCAGCGGTGGTAGGGGCGGGGGGGGCTCGCTGCCGCCCTGCAGTCCGTGGATGAGGATGCGGGGCACCAAAGGTCTCTGTAGGGCCGGGGGCGGAGCGCTGGGTCCGCGGTACAGGTAGAGGGCAGCGCCGGGGTCCAGGTTGGAGACCAAACTCTGCGGGTAGAAGTAGGGCGAGGGGAACATCCTCTGCAGGGCTGAGTAGTTGCCAGCCTCGGCCAGCAGCTCCAGGCCTACCGCCGTCTGCCTTTTCCATTTGGTCCTGGGGGGGGACAAGCCGAGACAGGGGGGTCAGGGATGGGGATGCTCTGAAGGACGCTCCCTGTTCTTTCCCTCCCGCCCTTGCTCAACCTCTTCTCTCAGGCTCTGCTCCCTTACCGCTGGATCCCGGGGTGTCCGGGATAGGATGGGATGGGATGGAGGGACGTAGCCCTCATTAACAGCCCGGAGGCTCCGGAGCCCTAAAGTGGCCGTGATACAAATCACTGCGTTCCAAACCGCGACCGACACGGTCCACCTTTCCCGGTGCGCAGCCCGCGGGTAACGAATCCCGCACCGCGTTGCGTTTATCTCGTGCGGGACGCGCACCGGGCAGCTCCGCCGGCACCGAACCGCGGAGCGATGCGCAGAACCGACAGCGTAGCTCTCCCAGATCAGCGCGGAGCGCTCCGGGCCGCCCCTGGGGTTGGGAGCGGCGCTGCCGGGTGGGACCGCGGGGTCGGTGCTGTGCATTCGTTTATGATATATATGTGTGGGTTCGTGTCTACGTGTACGCATATATCTCTTAAATTTCCGCATAGACCCCGCCGTCCCCACACCGCCTAAAAGCCTCGACGGATTGGCAAAGCCGCCGGGCATTGCAGAGCGTGAAGTGGGGCTGAAATCGGAGGGGGAGAGGGTTAAAATGTGGGGGCAGAGAGGGATCAGGGGGGGCTCGGTGTCCCTCGTTCCGTCGGGTTTGGGGACAGCGCCGAAGGGGCCGTCCGGATGAATCAATCGGAGCCGTCAAATGTCTTCAACCCTTTTACGGTTTCGTCGCTGAAGCGCTAAACCTATTTCCCCCGGTAAATTATTCATCATAATAATAATTGTGTAATTACTGTAAGGGGTGTTAATTATTGATGCCCAAAGCAGTAATTGGTATCTATTATTAATGGGCCGATGTGTTATGCTGTTGTGTTTCGCTGGAAGCCCGCTGCTCCCCGCCGGCTGGGGCTGGGGGTGCGCATCCCCCCGGTTGCGGGGCGGGGCGGTGCGGGATGCAGAACCGCTGTGCTCGGGGCTGCGGGGCCGTGAGAGGGGCAGGACGGGGCCCGGCGCGGTGGGGCGGGAGGGGACGAGCGGTGCGTTTTTACCTTCTGTTCTGGTACCACGTTTTCACCTGCGTGTCGGTGAGGTTGAGGGAGGCGGCCAACTCCATCCTGTCCTGCACGCTCAGGTATTTCTGCCTCTCGAAGCTGCGCTCCAGCTGGGCCAGCTGGTGGTCGGTGAAGGCGGTGCGGGCTTTGCGAGGCTTTTTCAGCCGCACCGGGGGGCTGTCCCGGGAACTGGAAATCTCCCGGTCCCCTTCTTCTTTCACTGGGCCGAGAGGGAGGAAGAGAGGCCGGATCAGGACAGGAAGGGACTGGAAACGCGCTCAGAAGAAAGCGGCAAAGCGCGGTAGCAACAAACGGGAGGAGAGAGCTCGGGCACCGCGCGGATTCCCGCAGCTTTTGTCCCGCAGTTCCCTCAATTCGAACCCATGGGGCCTCGCGGTGAGCCCGGCCCGGCGGTGCGGTGCGGTGCTGCCAGGGCCGCCGGAGCCCCAACTGCGCCGCTCCGCCCGGCGGGCAGCAAACGCCGCAGTTTGTTTTTTTTTTCTTCCTTATTTAAATACATTTCCCTCGTTTTTAAATTTTTCCTTTCCCTTATTATTTTTTTCCCCTTTCCTTTTATTTCTTTTCTTTTCCTTTCTTTTCTTCTTCTTCTTCTTCTTCTTTTTTTTTTTTTTAATTTCTATTTAAACAATTTTTAAACCCCCAATCAAACCCAACCCCAAAATAAAGACGCTGAGGCAACGTATGTTTAGAGAGAAAAGTCTCTGGGCCCGGAGCCTTCGGCCTCCCGGAGCGTCACAACGAAATGCTGCGGGATGACCCCGCTTGGGCCGTTTTTTAGCCTCTAACGAGAGGTCGGGGACCGCGGTTCGGCAGCGGGGCTGCGCGCACCGGCGGGGATCTACGCTGAGAAACATCAGCGAGAAACAGGAAAACAGCAGGGAGAAAAAACATACGTAAAAATATATATATATATCAACAGGGGAGGGAAAAAGCTTAAAATGAACAGAAAGAAAACAAAATAATCATAAAAAAAAGAAAAAAAGAGTCCGTGTTGGTGCTCGCCGTGCCCTCCCTCTCCCCTCCCGAAGGATTAGGTGGCAGAAATCGGCGTCCGCGGGTTTTTGCGGGTTTATGTTAAATTTCCCGGCGGTGGGGGTTAGTGGGGCCGGGGCTGCGCGGGCCGCGAGCTGATGCCTCTCTGTAGGAAGACAATAATCCCGTTAATTGAGCCACCGGGGAGCGAAAGCCTTCAGCCGGAACCCTCCGCTCCGGCCGAGCGGGCACGGAGAGCCGGGGGAGGAGGGGAGGAAGATGAGAGCAGCGGGGATGGGGGGTCCGGGTCCGGTCCCAAAGTTTGGTGGAGTTTCGCAACCCGCACTCCGAGAAAGGTAAATCTGCCCCCCCCGGAGCTCCCAAAAAAGTTCCCTGAGCGGCTCCGTGTTTTGTGCCCCGGCCGCTCCGATCTGAAATAAGGAGAAAAGCACGGATCTGAGCTGCGGGGTTTGGGCCGTTCCAGGTTCTGGGCGCCCGCTCTGTGCGGGAACTCGGGGGGGTGTCCGAGAAAGGCGATGTCCGAAGTGGCAAAAAGGGGTCGGAGGGAGCTGCGGCCCTCCTCTGCTGCCCCATTTACGCGAGGACTTTCAACTCCAATCGGGCACTGTTTTTAATCCTAGTTAAGAAGTATTTTTTCTGGTTTTTTTTTTTTTTTTTTTTTTTTTTTTTTTTTTTTTTTTAAGGTTTTCCCCCATTCAAGCAGGGTTTTTACCTCCATGCATAAAGAGTTTTCACTCCGTTTAACTAAGGCTTTCCCCCCATGACTGCGTTGTTTTCTTCCCTGCTTAAGCAGAGTTCCCCCCATTTAAGCTCTCTCCCCGCCTGCAGACGGCCCCGCTCCGTTCCTCCCTCCTTTCCTCTCTCGCTTTTTCCACTCTCGGCCCTTTTTTTGGGAAAGGGGATAAAGGCTGCGAGAATTGCGGGGGGAGAATTCAGGAAGCGTAAAGAAAACCCCACAAAAAAAAAGCCACATCTCCCCCCCACCCCAAAAACCAACCAACCAACAAACAAAAAAACCCTACAAACCAAACCAACCAAACAAAACCAAACAATCTTCTCCCCCCAACAAAAAAACCCAACCAAACAAACTCAAGATCCGCGGAGAGGATCGCGACGGTTTTCGATCCCTTCGCAGAGCTGGAGCCGATCCCCGCTGCCCCCCCCCTCACTCCCAGCCCCGGCCCCGTCCCCCGATCACAACGAGGACCCCCCCGCGGCGTTTCGGGGCTCTTCGGGGCCGCCCCCGGCCCTACAATTTTCCCGGTTGTGTTTTTTTTTTTTGTTGTTGTTTTTTTTTGTTTTGCTGGGGCGATGAGAGCGAGAAGGACGGGAGCTGCCGGCAGAACGGGCTCCGGGGGGGCGATCGTCGATGCCCCCCCCCCTCACCCCCTATGCTGCTCCCATTCCCCCCGGCCCGGGTGGAGGCTGTGGGGGCCCGCGAGGCCGCAGCCGCCTCCCCGCAGCCCTGGGGCTGCCGTGCTCCTTTCCGAACCACCTCCAAAACAACACCGAGTGTAACACAGATAATACAAATCGGATCCAACCCCGCCGGCTTTTCTTACTCGTTTCTTACCGGAGCAGGGGAAATACCCGGCAAAACCCGTGATCATTTCATTTGGCATTATTATTTCTTTTCTTGTATTTTCCTCGCTTTCTCCCGGGCGGTTCTCCCTTCCTTTCTCCCCGCGGATAGGAACGAAAGAACCGAATTCTGTCCGCGGAACCCGGCGCTGCGCATCCCCCGGGCGCCCCCGGCCCCGCGCCGCGCACGGCCCCGTCGTTCCCTCCCGAAGTTTCCCCAAGTTGGTACCGAGCCCGCTCTAATTTCGGGGGTTCCCCCTGCTCCCCTCACCCCTTTATCTCCGGGGTCCCGCAAAGGGCTGCGCGGTTCTTACCTTTGTACTCGGAGTCCGAGGAGGAGCTGCTGGTGGTTTTTTCCATTTTCTCCCTAAAGTCCTCTCCGGGTTTGGTGGGGATCCTGCCCGCCGCCTCCTGCCCGCCGTGAGGTCCATTGGTGCTGGAGTAAGGCGCGCAGGCGGCCAGGGGCTTGCAGTCGGCCAGGATGTCTCTGATGAGGAAGGAGGAGGTGACGGTTCGGGACTGGGAGGGAGCCGAAAGCTGCCCCGGCTGCAGGTGCGCGTCCAGGCCCGGCCGCACCGCCGCCTCCGGGGAACGTGGAGAGGGGCACCCGCTGCTGCCCTCTGAGCGGGGGCTCAGCTCCAGCGGGGAGCGGCCGTCGCCCACCAGCGGGTCCCCCTTGGGCACGGCCGGGCTGCCGGCTCGGTGCGAGAGGATGGAGTCGATCCCGAAGCCGGTGGAGCCCTCCATGGCCCCCGCGAGGTGCCGGCGCTCACACAGGCATTGGCGGGGAGGGCGCGGCGGAAGCGGGTTGGTAATTAACAATAACGGCGACGACAACAACAAAAAGCGAAAGGAAAAAAAAAAAAAGGAAAAAAAATCTAAAAGGGAAAAAAAAAAAAGAAGAGCAAAGTTCAGCGTGGGATCCGGGCAACAATTGCTGCAGGGCTCTCCGAGGCGCCGCGCGTTACATCCAGGGCTTCTCCGTCTTCAGCATCGCGCCCAGCTGCACTCAGACAGACAGACAGGAGAGGGGGGAGAGGGAGGCAGAGTCAAACTTTGGACGCCGAGGGGGTGGGGAGGGGGGGGGACGGACCCCGACCTCACCCGGGGCCCCTTCCCGGCCACCCCACCCTTGCCCGGAGCCGCGGGGCTGGGGGCTGCCAGCCGGTGGTGGGGAGGCAGCGATCGATAGTGAGGGCTCCGCAGCGCCTTAACCACTTAATGATCCAGAAATCAACGGGGAGGGCGAGGGGAGGGCGGAGGGGGGTGGGAGCCTTCGGGCCGCCGTGGCGCCCCCCTTCCCCGACAGCACCTCGGACAGCGCCGGGGGGGATCCGGGGGGCGGGAAGGGGGGTGCGGGGGGGGGGAAGTTGGAGAACCGGAGTCAAACCGGAGCCAAAGCGTCAGCACCGCGACCAGCGCCCGGAGTGACTCCGGATGCCAATTTCAGGACCTCGGACAGCTCCGGAGCCACCCCGACTTCAGCACCTCGGACAGCGGCTTCCCCACGGTGGGGGCCGGGGGGGTTGGTGTAAAAATAACACGAAATTAAACAATTAGAAAAAGGAGAACAAAATGAACTTGTGCCGCTCCGGCTCGCTCTCCCCCCGCGCCTTAGCCGTGTGAACGCGCCCATTGGCCGCGAGGCGTTTTGGGGGCTGTCACTCTCCGCCGGAGACACCTTGCAGCTTGATTAACGCGAATTAATTGCCGCCCGGGTCCCCCCGCTTTCCGGGCGGTTTCCGCCCTCTTTGCTGTCATTATGGCGCTGATGGGGCTCGTAATGGGGTGATTAGCCGCGGGGGGGTCGGGGGCATACGGAGGGTTGCTGCTTTCTGCTCGCCTCCCCGCAATTAACTGCTCCGCCGCTCGCTCCGTGCAGGGAAAGTTTTGCTGATCGTTCGAAATACAAAATAATAATAATTAAAAAGAACGAACGGTGAGGAAAAGCGCTGAAACCCTTCCCGAAGCGCCAACGCAGAGGCGGCAGCTCTGAGCCCGAGCTGAGCTTCGGAACTGCGGATTTCGTTGAATCCATTCGTTGAAATCGGTTGCGAACGGGCGGAGAGCCTTTTGCAAAAGCAAACGCGGGGCCACCGTGTGCCGAGCTCCGGAGCGGCGGCGCTGCCGTCAGTTCGGCAATTACCCCTCCGACGAACCCCCCGGCCCGGCTGGAGCTGCCCGCCCTGCACAGCCCGGTTTCTCTTTCCCCCCTCCCGCCCCGTCGGGACATTTCGCCGCTGTCGCACCTCCCGCACGGCTCCCACCTTCCGACCGCTCCGACCGCTCCTGCCTCCTCCCGGACTCTTTTCCTGGGGGCAGACAAGAGGAAAACGTCCGCACCCGCGTGCGTGGAGCCGTGCTATTTCAGAGAGATACTGCGGCTTATTTCTCAAATAGTCGATTTCTTCCTTTTCCCCCCTTCCCGGCCGGGCAGATGCATCTTGTCCCTCTTCCAAAGCCGCTCTCGGCCGGCAGCTTGGAGGCGGCAGGGCCCCCCCCGGGCCGCACGGCTGCCAGCTGTCGGGCAGCGGCCAGGCAGGGCCCCCCACCTCCTGCCCTCCGCCCCGGCTCAGGGCTGGCTGTGAGCGGGGCAGGGAACAAAGGAGCCCCGCAGGTGGACAGGGACAGGGGGAAAGCTGCATCAGCCTCTGCCCCGAATCTGGGGGTGCAACGGACCTGGCTCGGGGCTACACGTCCCCCCATGTTCTTATATTAAGAGAAATTCCTTCTGTGAAAGGATGGTCAGGCATTGGCCTTGGTGGTGCAGTCACCGTCCCTGGAGGTGTTCCAGAACCACCGTGATGTGGCACTGAGGGATATGTCAGTGGGTATGGTGGGGTGGGTTGGGGTTGAATTTGGGGATCTTAGAGGTCTTCTCCAACCTGAATGTTTCTGTGATTCTATGATTTATCTGCTGGTATTGCTTTCGCAGCATCCACCAGATCGAGAGATGCACACAAACTGGTCCCAGTGAGAAATGGGGCAAAGACCTCCATGGGGTTTTTCAGCATTCTGCAGCATGCTAGGCTCTGGTAACCCACCCAATCCAACCGTAGCACTCTGTTTGGGATGCAGATGGGCACTTGGAACAGCACAGAGGTTGGGTTTGGGGCCAAGAATGGGACCCAGAAGATGGATCATGGGTGGGATTTGGATTGCCTTATAACCGCACAAGTAGGGACTGATTTGAATGGTGAGCCTGCTGCTGGGGTTCCCACTCTTGAATTGAGCACTGGCCTTCAGGCAGTCACAAGGAGATCTCCAGTTCAACTCTGTTCTCTGTGCAAAGCTGTGGGGTGCAGGCAGGGAAGGGGTCCAGTCCTCAGCCCTGAATGCACACAGTATTCTGCCAATCCCCAGCCAAGGCACCATGTCACTCTGAGGCCACACTTGGTGTTCTCAGCAGCTACAGGTGTTCTCACCGCTCATGTTCTAATGTCAGTGTGGCTGACATTCATTAAAATTAATTATTATTATTATTATTATTATTTCAGAACGGAACTCTCCAAGGCAGAAATGTCCCCCATTTTGCCTGTGCACGGCATCCCCTCTACAGCAGTTAGGAGCTCATTAATTCAATTGGTGACATTGTCAATGTGGGTCTACCCCAGATGCAAGCTTTCTCCTTTGGTTGAGCTGAGCCCTGCAGAACCCTGGGGCACCCAAGGCCATGCAGGACCTTAATGGATAAATCCCTGTACAGCAGAGCCTAGATTCATCCTGGCAGCCCCTCTTTCATGAAGGCTGAAAAGCAGCTTAGGAGCAGTCCCAGGGGTGAGGCTGGCGGAGCACCAGGACATGCTACCTCCGTGTCCCACTGCCCAGATGGATCCCAAATGATTTATCCACATGGGTGTCCCCACCCCTGTCAGCTCCTGCTCTGCAGCCATGGGGTGTCCCTGGAGGAACGGGATCTGCTGGCCATGGCAGGGCATGTTCTGCCACATCGGGGTGAGGGACAAGAGGTGCTGTGCTGCACTGATGTGTCTGCAGGATAGAGCTCTTTCAGTTCCAACACCCTGTAGTTTTCCTATAAAGCAGACCTAGCTGCCCTGAAAACCCATTTCCTCGGGACGCTGCCGTTCGCCGGAGGGTGTCCGGATGAGAGAGAGCAGAGCTGTCGGGATAGGAGTGGTGTTCGGGTGGGAGAAATGGGGAAAAAAATCAGCCCGAAGGCCGCAACGAGCGGGGCGGGCGGCGGGGAGCCTGCGGCAGCGGTAGAGCAGCGTTACCAGTGGGTGTCACTGCAGGACAAGGAGCGCCGGGGCGTGCGGGGCCGGCTCAGTACCGGTACCGGGGACAGGGAATGGAGCCGGGGGGGTCGGGGTGTGGGTCTGCCCGGCTGGCAGAGGGGGAACACAGAACGGCGCCGGGTGGCAGCGGTTCTCGGGCTGTACGCGAGGGATCGGCGAGGGCTGAGTGTACACAGAGCTCTGCGGAGGGGCCTCGGTTTGGCAGAGGGCTTGCAGCAGGTGCTGGGATGGCTGCATGCAGGCAAAAGGGCAAGAGCTTTGCTGAATCAGGCAGCAATGGGGAGCTTGCTTGGCAGCCGGGTGGGAAGGACTGATGGGTTCTGGAGCTGTCCTAGACTTGGTGTTGAGCGGGATGTGATTGAGTTTAATATGTTTGTGCAGAACAGGCAGGGGAGGAGACTGTCCTTACCCCGTGGAGCTGTGTTGCTATAAGCACTGCCCTCTTAGCACTGTGACTTGTTACCCTGAGCCTAATGTCTGTGGTGATCATACTGAGGAAAGTGTTGGTGTGCATCAGACATCAAGCAATGAACAGGCTGAAACAGGATCTTGACTTCCATGTTTGATTTATTTGGCTTTATCTGCATGAACATAACTCTTTAAATCCTGAGAAATCCTATGTCTGGGGCTGATGCAGGGCTCCATGCTGGCTGAGGTTCTGACCTGAGCTTGCTGTATGGCTGCCCTGGGGAGGAAACTGCTTCTTCCAGGCACTGAAGGCCTTCTTACGAGCATCACAGTCTGGAAAAGTACTGAGATGAGGCCTGACCTGTAGCAAAAGGAGCAGATAGATGATTGGTTACATGAGCAGCCGGCCAAGGAAAATAGGTTGCAGATACAGGTTTAAACTGAGACGTGTGAGTGCGTCTTCATGTTTGGAATGGGTTTACCATCAGGGGCCCTGACAATGCTTGTGCCATAGATCTGCCTCATGTGGACGTGCAGAGCTTCCTTCTGCTTCCCTCCCCCCTGTCCTGCTCAGACTGGATGGATGTCAGCTTTTGCATATGTAAAAATACACAGCAGTCTTTGCCCTGAAAAGCTTGCTAGTAATCTCATTAATCAAGACAAACAAAGCATATTTAGCTATTCCTCCTCTCTGGAGGAAGGCATCCGGGTGCTTGTATTTGCATTTGAGTGCCTGACTTCAGATAGCTGTTTCTGGATGTTCTTGCTTCCCCACAACCCCTGGCTGAGAGGGCATGAGGGAGGCAGAGTCAAGGCTGCAGAGATGGGTGGGCAGCCCCATTGCCCCCCAAACCAGCTCTGACTTCCCTCTGCAGATGCAGCAGTTCTTCCCTCTGACCTGTGTGGGACCAGAGCTGGGGTTGTTAGAAAAATCTGTTGTCTGTATGTAAGGACAGCTGAGCTGCTTCTCTTGGCTGTGTTTCCTGGGAGCTGGGCAGGGCAACATTTCTGTGTGGGGTTGAGTTGAGGCCACAGGGGAGGCAACAGCAGTTTGTTCACTCCAGGCTGGTGCAATGCTCCTGG